TTATATATTAGTCTATTAAATAGATTAGTATTATTAAACCCTTAGTTACATCTATAACTCTTTTCTATTAAGAATCGCTAGGCAACTCTCACGGCGCTAACCCTAATCCTACTCGCCCTAACCCGGATCGAGCTAGAGAAGTATTAGCACTCCAGACCCCGTATAACACTTAGCGTTTCTAGATTAATACTATATTTTTTTATAATTTAAGAATATATAAGTTTTTTATTAGGCTTTAATATATTAATAGTAGTAAATATAGTATTAACTAATTATATTATAGTTACGTTATAAGTAGTTAAAGTGGATTAAATAATTGGTGTTGGAGGACGTAATCCGGCGTTGGCCCGTCCGCGGCGTTGGCCCGTCCGGCACCTCTAGCAGCATCTTGGTGTTGAGATGGTTAGCTTTCAGTACCACATTCGGGAATCTAGAACAGAAACAAAATCACGTAATCAAACCATCTATCCAAAAAATACCGTAATCTGGTAAATCGATTGAAATTGATTCCAGAGATCCCCATGGATTGAGTAAATTCGTAATGACCCCTTGGATTGATGGAATTGAAAGGTTCCAAACAGGGCCACGATGTTATGCATGCATTTACGCTTAGCGCCTCGTTAATCAAGACGTCTCTAATCAACGCCGGTTGCAAGATACTATATACCTCGGTGATTTTATCAGTCTCAAGATCCTTCTCTAGACTTCTAAATGAACTGGTCGTTAAGCTTTGGTTAGTGCTGAGAGTTCGAAGTCCTTTACAACGATCCCAAATCGATTGGACCTGTGGAAGCTTCCTAAACAATAAGTGATGCCAATACTAGGCACGCCTAGGTCCTAGTAAGAGGTATCTCATCATTACGGAATACGTTTCGTTCATATATGAGATTGCGAAGTAGATCTACATATAGTTTTAGAATCAGCTAGGTAGCTTTAGCTGAAAGCTATCGATCGGTGTCGCCTGCTCTACATAACCGGAAGCCCCAAGATTTTTCGACTATCGTCGATATATCTGCTTGGCTCAAGTAAGAATATGAATGGCCGGTGCAACAATCGCGAGACCATAGGACGAAATGACTCTAGTAGTAACAAGAACTGGTTTAAAAATAGGTATATGCAATGCTACTTGGGTAGTAAAAGCTAACTAGAGTAGGCTCGTAAGCCCTAGCCAAGCGTTTATTTACTTATATTTTATACCTCCCTCGATATATTCCATCCTATACCTCGTAGACAAATTAATTCAAAGCTACTTTATGCCTAATATCTGAAACCTGTTACTAGCATATAGCCTTCTACCTCCTGATATCAATTCGAAAATCGTGCTTTGACGACTCACTGCCAGACAAGAACTGAGGCAGGGGCAGGGCTAGTGGGAGCAATTGTAGCGTTGTACTGGTGGGATGCAGTGCTGTTACTGTTGACATACGCTCTACACTTGGATGGGAGCGAATACGTCGGAACCAAATAATATCTCCGAGGCTCGCATGGTACTTATTGATGGATTTTAGAAGTTCACAGAAACCCTACTTGGTACGCATGACACATAATCCCAGATGCAAAAGTGAGACATGTTATGGTAGAGCCTTACACCCCGGGGGATGAGATCCGTACTGTAGAATGATTCATACTTCACACAATCTGTAGGATTGATTACTCCCATCTTTTTGTTACTATTTACTCGAAATTCTTCATCTAGCATACGGCGAGGACGATGTTCATAGGAATTAAGAATAGTTGTGGTATCATGGTGGTTTTGCAAAGTTCTGAAGTTACAAACTTTCTGGCGCATCGCCATCGATTTTGGTTAGGTGGCGATTGGTGTAGTAAAGCATCGCGTTTTTTGTCCGTCAGGCGAGCGTCTAGTATTTTCAGCCTCGGAAAATATCTAGAGCTGGTCTAGTGATATGTATATATTAGCTCGCTATCGAAAGCTTGGGCGTAGTTGTGCATATCGGAGATAACCTCTGTGTCTCGGCCATCGGCTTTCGGATGTCGGAGGCCTGGGTACTATGCATGGCAGACATGGCGAGTTCTCTTATGCTTTGGACAACACGCATGTCGCATGTTAATTCAAGCATTCGTAAGAGCTATAGAAAATGTATCTAGTAGATAGACCTAAATAAGGTTTGCATAATCTATGACTGTATATATTAGGCCACAACTTTGTACTACAATGTATAATACATGGGTATAAAAGCAAGAGCTGTGCAAATTCAGATCAACGCACAGCCCTAACCCCGAGATGTCGGGGCCTTGCAGATCAATGGCATTTCTAACAGATTTGAGCCATTTATCAATCTTTTCCGGGTAAGACTAATGCAGCGGATATGAATTAACGGTTGGGATATTATAGGCAAGGTGGTGTGTTCTTCCTGTATGGAGTTAGATCGGACCGTAACCTACGGCACATCGTATCTGGCCTTTCTGACGAGGCCGTACGTATTCGGCATTAGGCATAGCCCAGTAATGAATGCTCTAATATAAAGCAGTAACAGCTCTGCTTCTTTATCGGCCATTGATCTTTTGTATTGGCAATTGCCCTAGTCATCATGGCTGTATTGTCGACTCTTAAACAAGAAACGATTATCACCTCCCTATTGTACTTGTGCATTTATTACATTGGTTTGATTGTATATCGTCTCTTCTTCAGCCCTATCGCAAACATACCAGGTCCTAAGCTTGCTGCTATTACCTCTTGGGTTGAGGTATATTGGGATGTAGCAAAGGGCGGAAGATTTGTATTCAAGATTGAAGAGTGGCATAAGAAATATGGTGAGTTATGAAATGAGAAACTTCAGCAATATTCATATTGATCCTCAGCTGGAAGGCCCAATCATTCGTGTTTCTCCAACGGAGGTACACATTCGCGATGCAGAGTTTTACAATGAGCTCTTTAACGCCAAGTCAAAGTTCAACAAACTGCCGCAACACGTAAATCGCTTTGCACACCCACAAGCCTTGTTCGACACAATCGACTACAACCATCATCGCCACCGCAGAGCAGCTGTTGCTCCTTTCTTTACTAGGCAGAAAATCATAGACTTCAGCTCTTACACAGACTCCCGAATCAACAAGCTGTGCACTATCCTCGAGACGCAGTATAAGGGTACCGGAAAGGTAATATGTCTGAATGATGCTTGGGGCGCATACGTGTCTGACGTGCTCACTTGGTACATCTGTGGTTTATCTTACGATTTCTTAGACTATCCGGACTTTAAGTCGCCTTTCATAACCGCTATCCAGAACTTGCTGCACTCATTTCCCTTTTCAACATGTTTTCCCAACGTAGCAAAGTAGTTCCAGAAATTGCCGGAATGGCTGCTTGTCAGATTAGACCCCAAAATGAAACCGGTGTTGGAAATTCGCCATGTAGGTTGCCCACCTCTGACGATATACGCCCTGCTAAACAGATACAGGAAGTGAGAGGCCAGATCAGACGGATCGTGGCTGGCGACAACGATGCGAACAAGTATCTCCAACATCGCACTGTCTTTCACGAGTTACTCAACTCCAGCTTGAAAAGTAGCGAATTGACCGAGGAGGTGATGCAGCATGAAGGGCAGAGTTTCATGGGTGCAGGCATCGACACGACGAAGACAGCGCTCACCGTTGGAAGCTTTTGGATTCTGAATAAGCCGGGAGTCAAAGCGCGCTTGGTAGAGGAGCTTGTGAGAGCGATGCCTAACCCCAAGAATCTGCTACCTCTCACCGAACTTGAAAAATTGCCGTACTTGTCCGCAGTTGTGCAAGAATGTAAGAAATTCATGGAGATTTCAAACACCCTCAGCTAACGTCTACAGCTCTACGTATGTCGTATGGGTTGAGTAATCGAATCCAACGTACAAACCCAACGGGTGTCATTCAGTATGGCAAATACATCATACCTCCTGGTACAGAATTCAGCATGTCAAATTACCTCCAGGTCACCGATCCGAAAATATTTCCTAATCCGAAAGAGTTTCTCCCTGAGCGGTGGCTAAATAGCCCCGTCACAGCGACTGGACGTCCCCTGAGTATGTATTTGACCGTCTTTGGCAAGGGCCCACGTATGTGTCCGGGCATGAATTTTTCGCTGGCAGAGATGTATCTTGGTCTCTCAGGGTTGTTCAGATTGGCAGATTTGGAGCTGTATGAGACAGATAGGAGCGACGTGGATATGGCGGGCAGTTTCTTCGTGCCTCTTCCCAAGGCGAGCAGCGAGGGAGTGCGTGTGATTGTGAAATGAGGGATGTACCAATGAAGTACCTGCTTCTCGGAGAGGATATAAAAGCTCTTTCAGCCTGTTTTAATCCGCGAATTAAACGACAATCCTATTCATAGAGTAGAGTGAGCCTTTGCGCCGTTAGATGGTATGATAAATCAAGATGATTGAACAAGGGCCCATGATGAGTAGCTTCAAAACTACGCGCACAACCACACTGGAATTCCACGCTCGTGCTCTGCATAGATGACCAGGTTCCAACCCTTCTCTACTCTATTCTCTGTTTTAGTACTATGAAACAACTCATCGATGAGCCATCAGTATCTAGTCGGTGTATCCAAGTGAACTATTCCTCCATGAATTGATGTTACTCACGGTTGGGAGGATCACTGCAACCACAATAGCAGCTTCGGTCGTTTATTTGCATGATTATTTGCGATACTACGCTCAGGATTTACCTTTACTCATCATCTGCTACTACTTCAGACATACTTGTTCCTCACTTCTTCCCGACCAACCAGCTATTGTACAGGGAAGACTAGGTTCCCCCACGCGTAAGAACCCGCCCCTAAACAGAGATATGAAAGAGCTATTCCAAAGTATTTGCTTATTAAGCTATTTCTCCTTGAATTCATCCCGGAACTGTTTTCGGACATCCTCCAAAATAAACCCCATAACATTTTTGCCAGGGTACTTGCCAGTAGCCTCTGCCTTGGCTTTACCAACACCAATTCCCCAAAAACGATCTCTGGGATTGCACTCAGCTAGGTTACGTTCGCCAGTAGCAAGAAGCTTCTCTTTGAGGGTTGGGTTTTTTGCATATTTATGCACGTTCCCTTCCCTCATAACCACTTCCTTGACTCCACGATGTAAGCACTGAATATAGTTCTTGGGATACTACAACTTACACTCATCCCACTCGTTGAGATCAAAATGATGCACTTGTCTACCAAGGGATTTGACCTTGACTGGGCTGTCGCAATTGAGAATCTCGCACAGAACATCCTACGCTTAGTCAATACATGAAAAGTGACGAGCAAGGATGGGATTTCTATATACATGGTCCTTGAAGTGGCGCGCCTTCGCAGCCTGAAAGTAGTGCTCCGTAGACTTGTACTCGACGTCCTCAACGGTAAATGGCGCGATATACATGTTGCTCATGAAGCCATACTCCGCACTGCCCTTGTTGAAATAGACAGTTCCAGTGTCTTTTGCCATGTTTGCAAATGGGAGAGCAAGCATGCACTTAGTCCTTGGGTATTGGCTTAAAGGAAGAAGGCCAGCCCTGAGTAACTAAGACAGATCGGAAGTGAAGGGAAGGAGAAGGGAGGTACAAATGTCAATGTAGGCACTAAGGATTGTTGCCTGTTCAGCTAGTTTTCCCCTCATTTTCCCCGCTGTTTCCAGGAAGCCACCATACCGCCACAAGAAGAGATGACCTGCTGTAGCATTTTCTCGTATGCGAATACTGAATACATCTTTTCTAGCAATGTCTTATGACTGAGCATGCATCTTCAAGCTACAAGTGGGATTTAGAACCAACCTACTATTTGTAAGTCCTTACTTTTTCTTCAATGTACCGCGGCGCTTATTGAAAGGGACCACAACCGCTTGAAACATTAATTTACCAGCAAGACCATAATACTCCACAGACAGTTAGTGCAACTCGCGTGGATGACTCACGAGGCTTGACTGACTATCCAAGGCTACCTCTGACGAACACACTAAATTCTGAGGGCTACTGGTTCCCGTGAACTCAAGAAAAACTTATTAGGTAAATTAGGTAGATTCAATGTCTCCTTCAGGGAGGCTACGCGCACACAATGACCGGTTGGGTGCGCCAGCGTCTAGCCCTAAAGTGCAATCCCTACTTCACCTCTCCCCGCCCTGAAAACTAAACCTCATACTCCGCTACTACATAGCCGACTTCCTCCGAAAATGCATTGATGCAGCTAAGATGTATAGTCTTTAATCTCAAAGCTAGCATGCATGCATACAGTATGCCTTTAGGGAGCCAGGAAAGTCGGCGTAGAATGGCCATTACCATTAAGGCTGCCCAGTAATACTATTGGGGCAGGATCGCGCGGGTGGATGCTTCAAATCCACTCCGCTGCGAGGGCACAGGGCAGCCGCCTGCGGTCCCGTCGCAAAGCAATGATCGTACACGCCTTTCAACATATACCCGTTAGTCTCTGATACAATCCAATTCTTTCGTTCGGAGGGCTATAGAAGCAGGATTAACTCACCGGCAGGTCCGCATGGATTCCTATCTCCTCCCTTGCAAGTGTCGGATGGCACAACTGGTACATGAATTTCGATGAACGACCTCTCCCCTTTGGAACAGATAAAACCATTCGTGCCCACCTGTGCAATCTATCGGTGCAGAGAGGCAGTGTTAGTAAAGATAGCAAGAGAGATGGAAGAAATGAACTGGGGTTCATCTACGAAATTGGGTGGCAAGAGAACTTACATATCCCCAACCTTTGATCACACCGATACGTGGAGTGAAAACAGCATAACAAGGATACTTGCCGCCATCCGAGCAATTAGCGGTATATCCGACCGTCGTAGCAGTTCTATCATGTGCATCACAAGTAGTTAGCCAAGCAACTTCCATCTGAAAACCCTCTTCAAAACCCCCCCATGTCTGTTCTGGGAAAGACAGAAAAGACTTACCCCCAGGTGTATGCAAAGCCGACACGAATGCCGAATTTATCCAAGATAGCTGGGCCGAATTTTAGATCAGGACCAATGTTGACATTGATGGAATAGGAGTAGGACACCGTTCGCGAGTTGGTCACGGTGCCAGGCGGACACAGGGCCTCCGAGATGCGGCGTGGAAGGCCAAGATGCTGGCTCCATTCGCTGACTTCGAAAACGGGCGTGGGCGTGACTTTGTTATCATTATACTTGGTGCAGCAAGGATCACCAAGACAAACGTTTTGACCCATCTTAGACTCTTTGAGGGGATCGGGCTTGGGAGCCATGCTCTTGTAGAGGGCCTTGAGTTCTGGGGGGAGAGTTCCCGTGAATTTGAGAGGGCCCTGGGTGCCCTTGCCAGACTTTTCTACTTTGGAGTTTTGGAGGAGTTCGCTGATGGGGACACGAATGTTTTTGGTTTGAGCGCGAGGGTCAAAGAGAGAAGGGTGGGCGGAGGAGGTGTCAGAGAAGATGCTCAAGAGAGCGATGGCTGCAATGAGAACACGCATGGCTGGCTTGATTGATGGAGTTGAAAGCTGCTGTTTGGAGATTGATGTTTCAATGTGAATGGTGCTGTTATTGATGCAGTGCTTCACTCTCTTATATACCTTTCCCTCCCACGATAAATTACAAATCTTGTAACTGAGGTTGCGTGCTTCGTACATCAACTTGGATTTCTCGAAATCCATACTAAATTGTATCAAACTGTGCCATTTTTGTCCCAGGTCGTACGTAGTTCAACGAGTAGTCGGCGTCCTTTCCCCCACGCGCATATCACCTGCTCAATCACCACTCCACTTGTGTACACTCGTCACAGCACGTGTATGGTATCTACTGGGATTGACAGACCAGTCGTTGGGGATGATCGTTCGTGAAGGCTCTCAAATCGTCTTACCAAAGGTATAGAATCGTCGTGGCTGGGTAGGGGGCAGTGTTTTCAGGTCTCTAGAACCATTCCCCTTGCACGTGTATACAAGTGTTGTCGAATTGTATGTCAGTATAGCAGAACGTGAACCCCCACGAACAGAACTTTATTCTCACTTTTATATTAGATAGAATATCAGTATATACGGGCTTACTGCGGACGACCATTAGCCGACCTCGAAGATGTACTCTTCGGCCCTATGTTGTCCTTCTCACGCGATCATATACGCCTACTTGATCCTGAACCACAATATCCCAAGAGCAATTAAAAACCCAAAGGTAAAAATGAACAAAACTGAGCATATCACTCGATAAGTGTAGAGCTGCGAGCCAGTGCTGTCATTCTTACTGCAGCTTCTTGTCTTTTTCCCGAGCACAGTGCGTGCTTATGAAGCCCGCAGGACAGTTGCGCGATTAACGAAAACCTAGATATGTTCAACATCACTAAACCATTCGTTTGCTGAATCCAGCCTCACCTTCTTCCTCGGGGGGGGGGGGGGGGGGGGGCATGGCAATATCTGAAGGGTAGATTGGCAGTAAACTCTCGGATCCAAGCTAAGCTTTTCTAGTGTTAACGTGTTTGATGTATCTACAGTACCCCTGTCTTACTAAGCACTAACCCAGGTGCTTACTTGCGCTACTTCTCGGTACGCGGGAACAGCATGTAAGCTGCACAGATCAGTTTATCGTGTACCTTAGATGATAAGTGAGCTGGATCACACAGAGAGGGAACAACATACAGCATATGGGAGATGCTAGAACTCAAGACTTCAATTCATCAACAACTTCTTGAGAACTGATCTCATGGATAGCGTGTTTACAGTGCAGTCGCGAGACCCCACGTTGATCTTCGGCGAAGTTAATTTTGGATGATGTGGGGGTGGAGGTATGCAAGCGATCTCCTGCAGGCACAGGTGTCGTCACGGCACCGTTACCGGCATATATTCGGGGGCAGCGGCAGTATCCTAGTGCAGATGAGTAGAGTTCTAGGCTCAATTGGTGCGTGCTCGGTATGCTACCCAGCCGATGTGATTGTTCAGTTATCATCTGCTAAACACTTTAAGTAGTTTTCACTTTTGTTTATTATAGTACCGGTGTCAGTCTCCAAGTGGAAGACTCTGTTCTTAGTGAAGTTCTTCATTGCCATTGCGCCAGACGTTGTATTCTTTTCTTTGAGAGCATGCTGGGAAGAGCATTATTTGTTGCAGTAGTGCGGAGCATTTTGGGAGTGGTCAGTGCAAATGGCGAAAGCCTTCCCGCCCGCACCATGGTATAGCTTGCACAAAGCTTATGTCAGTGCTGCTGTAGTACCTGGTTCCGTGAGACGGCATCGGTGCTTGGGCGGTAAGATACAGGGACACGTTTACCTACCCTCGCATCTGACTGGATTAGTACACTAAGTGGCATGTAAGACGGTTAAAGTAACCCTAGTACATGGGAACAATGTCAGAGGCCCTAGATGTTCATGTCGCCGACTCTTAGTTATACACCACAAGGACTCTAAATGAAGGAGAGGAAGATAGCACATGTGGAATTTCAAACTTGCAATTACTTGGTAAAAAAAACCATCCAAAGTGATGGTAAAAGAACGATCGGGATACGGACCTACAACCAAAGATCATTGAAAACAACATACAGTGATGCCATGATTGAGGAGATATAGACTTTGATTGAACCCGCTACACGCTAACGGGAGTAATTGAAAAATTGCGAGGATAAAAGAGGGGTAGTCAGCATCTTCCGTGAAAAGGTGGTAAAGTAATACGAGGCCGCTAAGGCAATGTGAAGTGATGATAATACAACAGGGATTTCATCAGTTATAATCGAACGAGGAATGCGTGACTAGCTGACACGCCTCGAATCCAAAAAGCGTGCCCACCTTTTAGGGCAGCAATGAGTAGTTGTCGTTTTTGGTTTTTGAGAAGGAAGAAAACAAGTAATACCATTGCTGGAGGAGCAAAGGTTTTGTGCAGATGTGCGTTGAATGGACTGGCGTTGAGGAACACGCTACCAATGCCATCGCAACTTTTTGACATATCATGGTTACAATAGTAGCCAAAGAAAGATGTTTCAACTACCACTGAAGTTGACATTAGGCATATTACTACAAAAACTCATGCCACAAAAGCCATCATTTCAAAACTTTAGACAGCATTCTTCTCCTTCCATTCCCCCGCAACCTCAGCATACGTACACCACTCGACCACCCCCTCACCCTCCAACTTCTTCAACCACTTGACCACCCTCTCCACCATCCCCACAACATGCGCCATACCACTCGTATCAGGATGCAGCACCAGCGGAAATACCACATCATCGCCCCCTCTTAGCCCTTCCTCGGCCTCACTCTTAATCCACTCAAACTTATCTCTCCACACATTCTCAATGACACGGACATCAACATAGCCCTGTGAATTATGCGTGTTGGGGAAAAATTGCAGGGGCGTCATATCCTCGGCATACCAATTCGCCGGAATCTCAACGAGCGATCTGGATGTTGGCGCCCCAGGGGTGGGCAGCGGCTTCATCCAGTCTTTTGCTGATGCAGTATCAGTGTAGCTAGGTACTTCCATTGGAGGCAACTTGGGGATATAGTATGGCTTGCTGTCGTGGTGAGATAAGCTGGAATCGTAGAGGAACCCGTATTCTTCCAGCAATTCGATTGTGTTTTCGCGCAGTTGATAAAGTGGTGCGCGGTAGCCCAGCGGTCGCTTACCGAGGAGTTCTTGGTATAGGCTTATGCAGTGTTCGAGGACTTCGCGTTCTTGGGTTGCTGTGAGCTGAGGCGCGCCCTCGTGACAGTAGCCGTGTAATCCGATTTCTGCGCCGCTTTCTTTGATTGATGCAAATTCGGTGGGAAAGCTTTCTGCACTGTGCATGGGGACGAACCATGTTGTCTTTTCTGCTATTCCGTGTTTTGCAAAGAGTCTGAGTAGACGCGGGACGCCGACGTAGGCGCTGAAAAAGCCCGAACTGTAGTCTGCGAGGTTGTTGGATGGATTTTGGCCGGTCCCTAGCCAGCCGGATACAGCATCAAAGTCGACTGAGAGCAGGACTTTGATCTTTGGCATGAAATCGTGACGAGGAGCACTCAAGGGCGAAGTCATGGGAGCAGCCATGATTGAGGCATCTCGGCTAGTGAGAGAAACGCCTTGCGTAGCAGTGCCAAAGGTCTCTTCGACGGCATCTGCAGGTGGTATTTCAGGCTCGGCAGCAGTGTTCTGCGACTTGCGAATTTCGTCTTCCGACCACACGATGCGCCCTTCCATGCCACCATCCACAGAAATGCACTGACCTGAGATATGGCCTGCTGCACGGTGGCTAGCTAGGAAAGCCACTGCTCTCGCGACATCTGTTGGCTGTGCAATCTTTCGCAGCGGTACCCTGGCTATGTCAGTGATTCTGTGTACCAAAATCTGTTGCTATACAAAGCAATGTACATACGTAGCTTGTGCTTCCCTCCACATCTCCTTGGGGTCATCCAGTCTTCCCTCAATCAACTTGGTATCCACCCAACCTGGAGCTACGGAATTGATCCTCGCTCTTGCATTCAATCTCACAATCTCATTCTTTACCGTCTTGACAAGGCCATACTGCAGTCCCGCTTTCCCACTCGCATACTCGACATGTCCTGCCTGGCCAAAAACCCCACATTCGGACCCCGTCACTATGATACTGAGGTTCTCAATCTCGTTGCCACTCTCAGTTTGGTATGTTTCGGCGGATTTAAGGAAGTGCTTGATGGTTAGGAAGGTGCCGCGGACGTTGACGGCATAGGTGCGGTCCCACAAGTCGCTGGGCATGTCCCAAATAGGGTAATTGCAAGATTCATCCGTGATACCCGCATTGGCGCAGAGTATGCTTATGGGCTGGGAGAAGTGATCAACAGCTTTTGTGATTGAGTCTTGGATCGATGGTTCGGAACTAATGTCGCCTTGGATGCAGTAGAGGTTAGGATTGGTTGAGGCGAGAGGGTTTGGAACAAGATCGTGCGCCGTGACTTTGCAGCCCTGGGCTATGTTACTGTTAGGAGTTATGTAAAGTGTGGTTTCATTGCACTCTAAGAGAGACTACAGCATGTACGATTTTCTGCACACTGTAGTTGACTCGTCACATACCTAGCAATTCCTCCACAATGGCGCTTCCAATCCCGCCTGCAGCACCTGTACAAAAAACATGCAACCCTTGGATGTTGAGAAATGACATTGTGTCCCTCGAAAAAGAAACGTGTGGCTTTTTCCCACTGGCCGCAAACGATATCCTGGCGAGATTCCAGCTGATGATCTATCATTAGTAAGATGCCCAACACGACAGCGCACGCCCACTTTTCTCGCCTACGTAATGTACGAAACAAGGCAGGTACATATGTGCAACTGCGCGATAAGCCCTACGCTATCAATGAGCCGCAGATGCGCACGGCGGCCAAACCGAGAAAGACCCAAAAGATGCATGTCTTTTATCTGCGCATTCGCAACAGGCATACAGCAGTGTTCCCACGTAATACAGATTACACACAAGCGTTATTGAAGCACTACTCAAACATGATATCGTAAAAATGAAGATGTGTGCCAGTGTCACCAAGGCC